TATGTGTGTGTGTGTGTATGTGTGTGATATATATATATGGAATATGCGTATTATGTGTTTGTTTACGCGCGCGTGTCTGTGTTTGTCTGTGTGTATGTGGTATGCGTATAAATATGCATATATATATATATTTATATTTATATATATGTTTGTATATATATATGTATATGCATATATATATATATATATATATATAAACATAGTACAAATACATATATTCATACACACAAACATATTTAAAGGCATAATTATCTATATATTTATTTATATATATGTGTGTGTGTATGTGTGTGTGTATGTATATATATATTTATATATTTATATATTATATATATATATATGTGTGTGTGTGTATTGTGTGTGTGTGTGTGTGTGTATATATGTATATATATATATATATATTTATATATGTATATATGCGTGTGTGCGTGTGTATGTATATATATACATACATATGTATGTATGTATGTATGCGTGTATGTGAATCAGCTATGTATTTACTATTCTTAGCAATAGTAATAATAATTAAAATGATAATCGTATTACTCTCTAATCTCTATATATTTAACCGCCGAACAAATTTTATACCATAGCCATTGAGAGCAGCTCTCCAATAATAGTTTATCGACTGAGCTGTTTTTCAATTCGACTTTATTTCAAGAACCCGTCAGACTAGTGTTAGATATACATGAAAACCATTTTAAGAACCCGTCAGACTAATGTTAGATACACATGAAAACCGTCAAACTGCACGGGGAATATTTGGCGATCGTGGCTCGCCCGACAGGTATACAGGCTTGCGGCTTGTGTTGTGCAACGGAACTTGGTACGTTTATTACACGTTGCCCTTGCCGTGAATTAGTATTAAGTGCCACTGCTTCAACGACACCCTACGTTTAAATATGTACTGTGATCGTTTCGAGGTCCTTTTCGCAATTTAAGGCGGCCACGCTGTATATACCCGAATTGCTCAATGGTGTAATGCTCCTGACTTCCTTTCACAGAAGAAAACGAGCGCTCGCTTGCACAAAAGTGACAATTCATCACGACTGAACCTTCTACAGCTGAGTGTTAATAGTCGCTTCGTATGAAAAGTTTCCGAGTCGTTCCGTGTCAATTGGTATTAGAGCTCATGTCCAATCTGATTTTCTTGTGCAGCAGAATCAGCGGACGAAGAAGACTTAAGAGCACAGCGGCATGTTACGCTTCAAGAGTGCCAACGCTTCAGCGTGCCCCTTGACTTTGTAGTAATATTCCCGCTGATACATCATGGTCTGGAGCGAGTGGTGCAGCAAGTCAGTGCTGCCAGGACCAGTCACCTTCTCGCATACATCTTGGAATTTAGACGGATGAGCTGTCGACACAACTATAATTGGCAGTTCCTCTATGTATTTAGTGGGATGCTGTGGGTAGTAGCGCAAACTGCCTGCCATTGCGACTGCGGTGTGTGGATCCAAAAGATACGATGGTTGCGCTTCATTGTTGTAGAACTTCTCCATTGTAGCGATTGTCTCGCTCTCTGAAATGGCCACACTTCGGTAGCCTGTATTGCAATGAGACAAAAAGATATACTGACAATTCACTATGAAAAGTCACACGGTATTAATTCCCGAAGCACTTGAAACATAGATGCTGGCGAAAGAAAACAACGATCGTTAGATACCTTCTTGGACGCGCTTAAGCTGTTCAGAATTTAGTTCAAACTCTCCCTGCACGGTATGAAAGAATAGATAATCTTAATACTGGAGAATCAATATACCTGGAATTTGATGAATTATTTATTTTTTGGTAATATTTATTGCAATAGAGGGTGAATTGAAAGTCTACTACGTTCTTGCAATAGAATTCGAGCAGCAATTCATGGTAGTATACAAAAGAGTTAGTTATCTAGAGGAGTTAGGGGTTTGGAGCAGCAACTTGTTCCATACCGGGTGTTATGGGCAATTTGCCTGACCACACCACTGCCTTAGTAGGGATCCATAGCGTTGATAATTTCAATTAATATAGGGTAGAGTATGTGCCACCTTGTAGTAAAGTTAAGAAGGAGGCAGCTGGGGACCATATCAACAAGGAATGAGTTGTAAATACCATAGAAAATCGTACCTTTCCATTGGTCAACGTATCCATCCAATCCCTCAGCGTGGTTGAATCAGCCCCAGTAAAGTAAAGGTATCGGAAGATGTTATACGGCACCTGACATCGAAAATGGGAGTCTTGCTTATTTTTGGGGAACATAATATGACAAAGGGACAAAAGGTTACACGTTGATATACACAATAATAAATGGGAACTACATTGCAGCACAGAGCGTAGAATAGGGTGGGTATGGTAAAAAGAAGATACAGGTCTTCCATCAGATCTTCGAAAAACATACTTGAATATCAATCGCGTTCGAGTATGTCGCCAACGTATCTCTCTTTCTCATCTTCCCTGACTCGAAGAGAGAGACTATTGACGCGTTCTCATTATTTGTTAAGATAAATTCTTTCACCGGTAAGCCCATCGATCTCGCCAAGTATCCGCCGAATTGGTTGCCACAAGCTCCGCATGGAATGCTGAAGACGACCTGAGCGGAGAGTGGAGTTTGATACTTTAAGCCACGAAACTTGAGTAGGTGAAATCGATCAAGTCGTACTAGTATAATTTCCAATTCCAACTTCGGAGGTTACAAAACCTCGACCTACCTCTTTATCACAAGCAGGAACGATCTGAAGGTATGAGTATATGAAGTGTATGCTCTGAGCGACAACTCTACAGATGTTAACAGAATTCACACTCAGGAGTTGCATATCCTGAACGAAATTCTTATCAGCCATCATCTCTTCAATCACTTTATCCAAGCCGTCCGAGTCGAGGCCCTCGATTGCCAGAATGTGAACATTGTCGGCATTCATTGTAGTCATCTGTCACGTAGTGATGTAGTTCATATGTGGATTCAAGTTGAGTGTGGGTGTAAGATCAAGTTCAAAACCATCCTGAGGCCTTGGACCCATTGCTTAAAACATGAGAACGTGCAAAGGACAATACTCGTTGTATACCTGAAGCTCCTGTGCCCGAGATACTTTTCCCACTGGGTACAAGCACCAAAAGTTCATGACATCGGAGTTTAACTTCGCAGCCGACGCAGCGCTTGGCCCGGTGTCCCCACTGGTCGCCACAACTACGTTCACTTTAGATCGCGAATCCGCAGAGCTTGCCTCTGCTTTTTGCTTTCTTCGGCGTACAAAGTGTGCCACCATGTTTACTGTCAATCGCATCGCATAGTCTTTGAAGGCAAGAGTGTGCCCATGGAAAAGCTCGAGTACATAGCGATCGCCTACCCGCACTGTTGGTGCGATGTCCGGGTGGAAGAAATCGGCCAAGCTTGTCTCAATGAGTGCGGTCAATTCCTGAGTATACACGCCACAGCAAAGCGGATGTGTGTGGCATTAGAGCATGCGTGTAAGATATGCCACATAATTGGATGCACCGCAAGAGTGCTAATGGACAACATAGTGTTTAGTACAGTCATTGTATACAATCAAGGCGCCAGGGCAGAGAGTGTCATCGAATCGATATTGTGCATCGCACAGCTGTGCGCAACAACTTGCAAGTAGTTATATTTAATCACAATCTCAAATATGCTACTGAATCAATGTTTTTGCTTTTATATGATAGTGATCAATGCTAAACTACGTGTTGCACTGCGCAAGAGCATTTAAAATCCACTTGCTGCACACAGACCTAGAAGGCGCTTATAATACCCGATCTAGGTACATCCTTATAGTTGACCAGCGACCGAGGAGAGTTACTTAGAAAGAACAATGTTTGACAATGGTACTCGAAAAAAAAATAGTGTACAAGAAGTGGGATAACTCACCTCACCACTCAACTCGTCCGGCGATATATACAGAGACAAGACATTGTACGCAATCTTTTGATATGACAACCCCTGCCAACTGCGTAGAGTGTCTTTGGAGATAGTAGGGATCTCAGAAGGTACCCAAAGACCCCCATCCGCTGCAAAAGGATTGAGCACAGCGTATTCAAATTCCACCTCTCTCCCAGAGGACTCATCTGCTAACGTCGATACATACTTCATTCTAAACGCACAAAATGTGATTGGGTTCTAAACTTCTATAGTGTTCTGCTAATCTGCTACATATGATATAAATACTGAAACAAAAATGTAAACAAAAATATGTGATGACTCAGTTTTACACTTGGAAAAATCATTCCAATTCTGAATACGTTGTAGGTCTAATCTATGTTTGTATGCGGCTTTGTGCACCCGTGTATTATTTCAAAATTGGATTTGAACGTAGCGTGGCAGGGCGAGTTGTGTGTAGAATTACAGACTGTGCAACAAATGGTCTACTGGCATCGAGATCCACTAAACACGCATATGCATAAAACTTAAGACGCAAGGCTCCTATACTAAAATCATCACAACGTTGGCAAAATGGTATGGAACTTGCCACTACAATCCTGCGAAGGACGTACCACACGTAACTTTTTTATATCAATTTTTTTGTTATTGTAGTAAAATAACTCTGTTTGTAACAAATAAGATTCGAGACAACATGCCGTTTCTGACTACTCTGTAACTACGTCATGCAAAAGCTATTCTGTGTAGTTCATGTCTCTATTGAAACGTCATTTACGTCAATACACTATGAATATATATATATATATATATATATATATGTGTGTGTGTGTGTGTGTGTGTAGTATACTATA